GTGTAAGAAAGATACAAAAAGGAATCAGGCAGCCCACGAGATGGGTGCTCATTACAGCCTCCAAAAACGCCTCAGTATACAAGAAGGGTATTAGAGCCCTGTACAGAATAGACAGGAATAGATATTACTGTCCAAGTTTTTTTTTTTTTAAAAAAAGAAAAACAGAAAACACAAAAATGCACCAAGAGCTTCAAAAAACTACCGAGGTCCCTCTCGTATGGGTATTTACTGCCGGTCCAGAATTAGCAAGAGTATCTGCATCGTGGTTCACCTCATGCCACGTATGTCGATAGGAGATGCGCATATGCCTGCTCAGATCGAGTAGGTGGTAAAAATATGGTTGAGACAGTATGAGTTAAATCTCTTAGCTCATGATATGATGTTTTTGGAGTCCCCGTCCACCACCCAACAACCAATCCAGTCTACCCTGATTGTTTTAGTCCCCTCTAGATGAGCCATAGCCACAGCAATAGTGGATATGCCAATGAACCCCATTTAGTACAGTAAGGTATTACCAACCATGGTCTCTAGAAAGAGTTTGAAACTCGCCCGACCAGGGTTGCCAAGAGAGAAACCATCGGAAATTGAGCTTAATATAGCCTGGTTCTGGGGCGCAACATAGAGAAGAACAAGGAATGTGAGTTGGCCAGATGGCTTGCCAATTCTGAAGAAAGCCGTTCACCGCAACATGTCTAAACTTCTTAGAGTTTGTGGCCCAAAAGATGACTTTCGCCTTAATCCTGTCTGTAATAGTCATTATCGAGCTTTCTCTCCCCACAATGATTCTCAGGTTCCTCTCCTTCTAAATCGCTGGGATGGTTGCTGCCGATGCTGCCTGCCAAAGGAACAGGCCCGCAGAAGGACAAGAGGGGGACGAGAAGCTCTGGAAGAGGTGAGGAATGGAGGTATGACCTACTGCCACTTGAAGGGTAGGAGGAGAAAGGCTCAAAGACATGAAGCCCACTCTCAATGTAAGAAGAGGTGCTGGTTGGTTTCCTCTACTGTTTTACACATAATTCATCAATTAGGGATAGGGAAACCATGTTTCTGTAGTTGGTCAACAGTTAGAATCCTCTTGGAGGTCGCCAACCAGCACAACACTTGATTTTTTGCTGGGATGGCAGTTAACCAAGCCCAAGAAACTACAGGGGGGGGAATTCTTGGGGGAGGGCGAGAAGCTTAGCGTAGGTGGACACCAGAAAGTTACCAGATGGCAAGGACCATCCATATGACAATATCCTGCCCTGCAATGAGTAGGTAAGTGGCTTGAAGGGTGGAAAAAAGGGCCTGGAAAGAGGGAATATCATGATCAAGCAAGGGTCTTCTAAAATTCGGGCTCCACACTCTCTCCTCTCGCAAGATTATTATTCTTATTTTTTAATTGAGGAACTATGAAGAATATTTCCTTTTTTCCAAATTGTACTTCGTTATGTGTTCCAGAACATTTTTGAACAAAGATGGAAGAGTAATTTTATCATACGTAATATCTTTTGGTATACAAAGGCCGTCGTCATTTGTCAGATCATCTAAGATTTTTTATAATATATTTAGGAATGTAATAAGCCACCATTTAACCCATAAACAATCTTTTTTCAAATTTGTATTCTAGTATATTCAAGAACATTTTTTTGGTTACGGACAGAATAGTGATTTTATAATCTATGAAATATTTGGGTGTACAAAATCCATGCCATGTAAAAGATGAGCATTATTAACATGATCCACCCTCAATCCTCTCTCTGGAATATGGGACCCAACACCTTGGACTGATGATCCTGGTAATTATGATTAAAATCTAGATGTGTGTGTGTCTGTGCACACAATGTGCGTGCGTGTGTGTGTGTGGGAGACAATAATGCGTGTGTGGTAGCATTATTGTCTCCCACTGGACTTGTGTTATGGTTTTTCCATTCTGAAATGAGTTCTTGCATGGGGAAGTATGGTATGATCCATACCATTGAAAAGCTAATGATAAGTGCCCAGCAGTGATGGAGAGAGACTACGACCCATTCTCCATCAACATCCATCTTTCTATTGGATAGTGATAAATATTTACAGTGATGAATTTTCTATGGTTATAGGGATCATAAAGTATGCATTTATTGTGTGATGATCTTGCAGTTGATCTGCTCTATGTAGTGGCTTTCCATGAGTTGTAAACAAGATCCTCGTTTTGTTGTAATTTTGATTTTCTTTCGTTAAGTCTGGTTTGATTGGTTTTGCTTATGTGCTGAATAAGACAGTTACATTCTCTATTTTTTCCTTTCTCCATGTGAACAGAAATAGCATGGATAACTGAAATGGCTTTGTCAGAAAAGTGTATGCTTGTTACTTTTAGAATTATGACCGTGAATGGAAAACCAGGAATGATAAGTTAGAACTGTGTTTACCTGATATTTTTTAGATGCCACACAAACATTGTCCAATCAACGGATGGATGGTGTTAGTCATGTTCTGGCTGATCCCACAGTCTTTCAAACAGTCATTTCATTGATTGGATGAGGTAGGCCAGGCATGTCTTGTAGATCAGGTAGGTAGGATTGGATTCTACCTGATCATTTCTCTTTTTTTTTTTTAAACAAGATTATCCATTGTAATTTCAAATACTTTGATAGTTATGTTCTATTTGGAAAGATGGGTATCATGATCTAGCGCAAATGAATTCGTGAACCATACAGTGACGGAATTGTATGTTACTAATTAGGAGAGGGCTGAATCTTATTCTTGAGGATTTTTCCTTTTGTGTTAGTTATAACTTTGTATAAGGGAAGCAATCAAGTCTGCAAACTTTTAACTAGATACTGTCCTGCAAACTTTTAACTAGATACTGTCCTTGTGCAATCTTGTATGTTGAAATTTTATATCAACGGACTTCTCACTAATTGTGGTTTACCTGGCTTCGTTGGTTGATGGTTACCAGAATTTTGTTCTGTGACTATTTTCCTTGAGTTCTGTTTGATGATGGAGCTTACAATTTACTCTTGATTTTGTATTCGAGTTTCAGGTCAATGATCCAAACCAGAAGACTTCTCAAGCCATAACTAAATTCCTTCCCCTAGTGATTGGTTACTTTGCTCTTTCAGTTCCTTCTGGTCTAAGTCTTTATTGGTGAGTATACTATCTTGCAAATTGTAGAATATCGAATATCTGTTAGATCCTTAAAGTAATAAAATGCCTTTATGTAGAAGGAATACACACACATACCACACATGCACACAAACACATTCACACCCAGACACAGATTTAGATATAAATACATATAACCATCTGCATGTTAAGAAAATTTGATGTTTGTATGTAAAAGGCTTTTTACCTGGGCTGTAGGCATTCTAGATGGATACCTGCGGAGCTCACTGGTTTGTCCGGAAATGCACTCTATACCTCTGGTTCTAAGTTCTTTTATTCATTCTTCTTTCTGAGTCGAAATTAGAAGTCAGAGTTGGATGAGGAATTTAGATTAAATCCTATTCAGTTAGAAGATTTGGATAACAGCACATAGATCCATTCTAAATCTGAAAAGGAATTGGGATTAGGATAGAGATCTACTTGATCTAATCCTATCGAAGCCATTCTAAAGCGAGCTAGCCACCCATGCCCCTCTCTCTTGAAAACCCCCATGCCTTCTTTCTTCCACTCTCTCTAGACAGAGTTCTGCAAATTCTCATTCTCTCATCCATTCTTTCCTAAAAGGAAAACCCTAGAGCTCCCTTTCATGACTTATGTGCAAGAAGCTCTCGAGCCAGCTCCCTCAAGGCTCGAGGATTTACCCTGTTTATGCTGTTTTCTGGTTCTTCTTATTGAGATACTAGTCTGAGGTGGCGAGAATCAGTTTTAGGCGGCCAGGCTTCAAAAATGTAGGCGCCTGGATGAAACTTGGCCAAGGGAAGAAAAATGCCCTCAGCCAAGGTCAGAAATGTACTCTTTCCCCCCTAAAAAGGGAGGGAAAGGGTTTTGGGAGGGCCTTCTCCCCAAAAATTCACATATGCCTGGTGCCATCCCTTAAAAAAAGAAAAAAAAAGAAAAAGAAAAAGAAAGAAAAACACAAGTCCCTTCAAAAAGAAAAACAAAAAAAAAAGTTAAGGCCTATACAAATGGTTAAGGCCCTTCTCTCTCTCTTATGGACCAATGTGCTCTCTCTCTACATATGAGAAGAAAACGAAGATGGCCTCCAAGTGTTTGATGCAAGGCCTCTCTCTCTCTCTCATGCACACACAAACTCACACATAGACCCATATACTCCTCTACATATAATAGGAAAAAGAAGAAGAAGATAACCTCCAACTGTTCCATGTGAGGGCTCCCTCTCTCACGAACTCCTATTCTCTCTTTCTCTCTCTACATTTAAGAAGAAGAAAAAGGAACATGTCCTCCAAGTGTGAGAGTGAGACCTCTCTCTCACAGACATGGGCCCATATACTTCACACTCTAAATGTAAAATAAGAGAAAAGATAAGAAAGAAGACGACGAACTTTAAGTATTTGATGTAAGGCCTCGCACACACATAACACCCCCCCCCCAAGGCGGTTTCCTCTGCTTTTTTGAACATTGGATTTGAATAGTAAATTGCATGTGTGAGAGAACCAAGAAAGGTGAAATGGTTTCAAGAGGAATGTAATCTCTATCCGATCCACGAATTATTTTTTTGAGACTGTTAACATTTTATTGATGGAAAAGAAGATTACCAACCAGTATGTAAAACAACAACAAGGCAAAAGTCACCAAGAAAAGTGACAGCAAAAAGAAACCAACTGAAAATAAAAAGGGGCCGACATAGTGCCCATAGAAAGGAAAAAGCAAGAAGGGAAAACACGACTGGCATGCCGTTATCCTGGTGGTAGAAGAGAATCTGGTCCTTGTTTGGTGAGATCATCCACAACATGGTTGGCCTCCCTCCAGATATGAGCCCATGAGACAGGAATCCCTTTCTACTAGGAGAGTGATCCCACAAGATGTTGTAGCATCTGAGGCCTTCGAGGAGGGCACGGGTTTCCGTCTCTATAGAGCCAGCAACCCCTATAGGAATCGAGTAGGCCAGTAGCGAGATACCCTCGAAATTTCTAAAACTTCCTCCAATGCCTGCTGGACCTGGATTTCCTAGGGAGGAACCATCAAAATTGAGCTTGATGGTGCCCCTCTCGGGGGCCTCCATAGTGCCGAACTCGGCACCTTCTTCGGTTGATGATAGAGGATGTTGACCCAGCTGATGAGGAAATCGGCTGCCGGGATGAGTCTGAAGTGTTTATTATTTGTAGCCCTGTATATGACTGAGCCTTTAATTTTTTCCTTGATCTTGTGCAAAGGAGATACCCGCCTGGGCGCCCGCCCAGGTACATCTGCCCGTGTAGAGCTGCTTGGGTTGGGCGTGCGGTACTTTGGTCCATGCTGCGTAGGCACCGGGTGGACAGTTTTTTAAAACATTCATAAAAGAATTCCAAGTGTTAGGGATGGAGGGGTGACAAGCAGCGGCCCCTAGGGGTGACCTACTCGGAGAGCGGAATAGAGAGCTCACAGAGAAAGTCCCAGAGGGGGAGGGGGACCATGAATTATTTTGTAATTGATTTTGTATTTCTTCTGTGTCGTGACTCACCTAGTGAGTCAACAAACCCGTTAGCTGGTTTATTAGCCAAATAGGTGCTCAAAGACGCTACTTGGCTGTTATTTAGCTATAATTGTCTATCCAAGGCTAAAGATCGAGGGGTACAGGCTTTCTATTATCCTTTTATATACATATGTTGTACGTCGGTGTAGTTTTAATTTTCCTTTAGATTAGATACATGTTGTACATCACATATAGCTAGGTAACCTGTAAACGTCTTGTCTTAGTAAAATTCAGTTAAGGATAAAAAAAAATTATGTTTTAAAAGTATTTTGTTCACCTAACCTGATCATCACTAATAACACCATCAATAGGGGCATAGTATCTGAATTGATGGAACTAACACACATTCTGGTTTCATTACAATGCTGGGGTGAAATGTTGCACACATTTCTGGGCCTAAAGTTGGCCTAGTTTTCCATAAAAAATTGAAGATGATATCAGACTATTTGTTTGATATTGGTCCAATATTCTTCTCCGCTGTCTATTCTTCTTGATATTTGTTTTTGGTAGGTAACAAGATAGGGAAGAATCCACAGAGACTATAGCATAACCAGGTTGAGTTATATGAAATCTCTTTATAACACCATTTTTTTTACTATTTATCATTAACGGAAAAATTTATGGAAATAGAAAGATTTACAAGCATTGCTATATGTGATGTACAAAATGTTTATCCAGAAGAGTCAAACAAAATTGTGTCACTTTATCCTTGGCCTTATACAAGTCATTGTCATTGCATACTGACCAGATGGGGTCTTTGAGCCCCCTCTTTGGCTAATAGATTGGCTAAGATTTTACTTCTTTCTATATGTGATTGAAAGCATTTCACTCCTGAGCAACAATCAACAACTTTGGAGAAAATATCTGCAAACCTCTATGCGCAGTTATCAGTCCCAAGCCCATGGGATTACATTATTGGAGTCTCATTTGATGATTAGAGGCCCCAATAGGGGGTTAGATTTTGCAAGTTCCTGTCAATAATAATTATAATACCATTGCCTCTAATCGGTCTTGAGAATTATAATAAAGTGGTTCCCTTGCATCTTCAAAAGAGACCTTGAATTCCAACAGTGACTGGGTTGCCCAGCAAGCACTATTGAAGTTAAGTTTGGTCATTCCAACCTGAGGCAGGGTCCATGGCATTTATTGGTAGATTTTCTGCAGAAACTAGTAATATCTACCCAATTTTTAATGTGGTCAGCTGAGGATATATCCCTAAATTTTTCTTGATGAGGGCCCAACAAATCAACATATTGATTCTATATTCGTAGTGGAAATTTGGGATATATTTTGTTTCCATTCCTACCCTGTTAACATGTCAAGGATGTTTGCCCTCAGATGCCATTTTGTCGTGCTCAAGCCATAGGCCACAGAAGATATTAAGCAAGCTTAATCTCCAAAGGGGAGACTTGCTCTTGGAAGGCAGGGAGAGAAGATAACAAAACAAGCTATTAACTGAGAGGTGAGGGACCCAGCTGAAGCGAAACCTGTGTAAAAAGGTCCATATTGCAATCTATGAATTAGTGTTGAATCATTTTAGCATCATCCTTGACATGATGCATCTGTTTGTTATTTAATTTCCTTGATCTGAAGGTGGTCTTGTGTTAGAATTTTGTCTAAGATAACTATCCAGGTACAGGCTTGTATCTTTTGGGGGCCGATAACCTCAAAACCTTCCTTAATATCTTAGTCAGTAGTGTTTGGTGACAGATAAGTAGAAATATTTTATTGAGAACCGCCCCTTGCAGTTGGGATACCAGATGAGTCTGTCTTCGTATACCCTAGTATGAAATCTGATTGGAGTTTGTTGAGTTTCTTGACCAGTTCCGTAGCTGCTTCATCTCCAATGCCCATCTGAAGAAAGAGCACCACACCAAGTTTCGAGCGTGTTGTTCGATTACTGCTGAAATTCATGCGTCTAAATCAGTTGCGATGGCCTTGAATCTAAGGAAGCACTTTTGTCATTTTCTTTGAGCTTGACCAAAGTTTAGTCCAAAACTTGGTTCTTGTTTCCTCACCTCATCCGAGTCTCGAATATGGTGAGCTGCCAGAATTGGTTTTGAACCAAGTTTATGTTTCTCTACGTCCCTGATGCTTTTTTTGTGGGAGTTAGGGAGGATCTTGGTTTGCCATCCGAGGATATCTTTGCCATACTTGTGAGAAATGATTATTTGCTTGATCATGGGTTTCTGCATCTGCTGAAAAGGGCATCATGAGTTTCGCATCATTAGTTTCTTTAATCTCTTTTTTCAACACTATGCCATCATAGATTTGCATAAATGCGTACTAGTAGAAGGCCTTATCGTGTGAGTCTCTCTACTCTTTTTTCTGATTCGTGATATTTTCTTTGTACAAATATAAATGTGTATTCTTTAAATAAACGCTGGTCTTGTTCTTATTGTTTTGTATTATGAAATTGTGATTCTGGTTTCTTTAGCTTCTTCATCTCTAGTGCCCATCTGATGCAACAGCACCACACCAAGTTTCCAGCTAGTTGTTCGATTACTGCTCTGCTGAAATTGGGGCATCCAAATCCGTTGCATTGGCCTTTAATCTAGGGAAGCACTCTCGTGATTTTCTCTGAACTCGACCAAAGTTTAGTCCAAAACTTGATTCTTTCTCCTCACCTAATCTGAATCTGGTGAGCTGCCAGAATTGGTTTTGAACCAAGTTTATGCTTCTCTAAGTCTCTGATGCTTTTGTTGTGGGAGTTAGGGAGGATCTTGGATGCCATCCGAGGATATCTTTGCCATACTTGTGAGCAATGATTTATTTGCTTGATCATGGGTTTCTGCATTGCTGAAAAGGGCAACATTAGTTTCTTTAATCTCTTTTTAAACACTATGCCATCATAGATTTGCATAAATGCGTATCAATAGAAGGCATTGTTGTGTGAGTCTCTCTATGCTTGTTTCTGATTCATGATTTTTCCTTTGTACAAATATAAATGTGTATTCTTTAAATAAATGCTGGTGTTGTTCTTATTGTTTTGTATCATGAAATTGTGATTCTGGTTTATTACCTAATGAACTGTCACCTCTTTGCAGGCTTACAAATAACATCTTGAGCACAGCACAGCAGGTATGGCTTCAAAAACTGGGAGGTGATAAAAATTCCGTGGTAAAGTATTATGATGAAGCCATCAGCCAAAAACAAGCGAAGACTCTGAGTAGTGAAACTAAATTTGATGCCAACCAAATACAAGAAAAACCAAGAGAAGCACAAACAGAGTCAAGGGGACCACGTCCTGGTGAAAGGTTGATGGCCAATCAGAATCCCATGTGAAGCGTGTTTTGGTTTCAAGTTTGAATAATCTTTTGTCTCAATCCTCACTGTACATTTCATATGCTTCAGGTTTAAGCAAATCAAAGAACAGGAGGCCACAAGAAGAAAGCAACAAGAGGAGGAAGCAAGGAGGAAATTGGAAGCTGCCATGGAAACCAAGCAAAATGGTCAGTCAACTAAGTTAGAAGAGGAAAGGGCAGAAGAGGAAAGGTTACACTCTTCACCTTCCTCATCTAATTCCTCAAATGCAGAAGCTCATCCATCAAAACAAGTTCTTTCCTTAGAGGATGCGAATGAAGTTCAGGCCGTCATATCTATGACTGGATTACATAGCGATGGTCGTACTTTTGTTACCCATGTAGAGAGAGAGGAAGAACCAAATTCCAATCACAATATGGACAAGGTAACCCAAAATATGTGCAGAGCCTGATTAAACACTTATTTCTCTTTTCTCTTTGCCTGGTTAAAAATACAAAGGGGATTTGGGTACAAATTGCGGGGCGTCTGAACGGAAAAGAGATTGCCCGTGTCGAATGGATCAGAGAAGGCAGGGTTCCCCTACACACTATTCGAGCTAAAATTGATTATTGTTCTTATATGGTTCAAACTATCTACGGGGTATTAGGGATCAAAATTTGGATATTTGTAGATGAAGAATAAAAGGTCCTTTCTATTTTGCGGTTAGGGACAAAAACGAAAAAACTCCAGCTATGTAGTTGACGTTAGCGATTGCACCCCTTGGCGTATGGCTCCACTCCCGACCTAGTACCGATGAATGCGACTCGTTCTACCTCTCCCTAAGCCTTTTGCTTTTTATTTTTATCTTCATTTACTTTTTATATAGGTAATAATAATTAACCAAATTCATGGTTCTTAGTTATCATGATTCACATTAGTCTTTTAAAAACCAAACCAGTGGGCCGAACTGTTCACCAGCTGAATCGAGACGGCTCAGTCAGTTCTAATCCTGCTCGCCGGTTCTCCGGTTTTCTTCTTTCTTTCTTTTTTTTGTATTTGAAAAAATAAAAAAGAAAAAGTATGTTTACCTAGCTGGACCATACTTTTTAATCACACAACTAGCCCAATCACTATTTATTTTTGCAGTCACCCTCCCAATGAAGAAAATAACTTTGTTTTTATAAAATACCCTCATGGAGGTATTTTCATAAGAAACAAGGCTATTTTCTTCCTTTTGTGGCTGCAAAAATAAATAGTAATTGGGCTAGTTGTGTGATTTAAGAAAACGTATTGGTGGGGACAATGCCTAAAAAGTGTGGTCTAGGGGTATATAAATCACTGATTCACATGTTTTAACATTGTAGGTTTCCTGCACTCAGTGACAATTTGCTTTCTGTGTCCGCTTGTGATTTAATCAGTTGAATTGGTCTGTCTTCTGTCTGCAGGAGAAACAAATGGATTCTTATAATGGTAATGGTGCATCATCTTCTGAGCAAGCTTCTCCAAAAGAAAGCGAACAGTCGACACAGAAAGATTGAGCTTGGTTACAATGGACACTCTATCAAAAATCCCACTTGTGCCTTGCGAGAGATGGAGATATGTATTTATAAAAGAGGTGACAGTCAGGGATCTGTACAGTAGTTCATTTGTTTCACAGAGCATAGATCCCTTTACAGACGAATAGCAAGCAAAAGAGAATCAAACACATTTCGGATTTCATGTAAGGTAGAGAGATATTTTAGTTTTCTATTAAAGCAGTGTGTTCGTCAAACATCCATTCTGTGGCAGTAAGTTCACAACTTCTAGTCTGAGAACTCGTACTGTGAATTTTGTGGAACTTTGTTACCACGAGATATTTTACTGTGAAAATTTGGGGCCTGGAAATAAATAATATATTGAAATTCCATGAAAGGTAGAATATGTGCTGTTAGATTTTCATTATTTTTATGTTCTTCATTATCAAATACATTTTATTCTTTAAAGAGGAACATAAAGGGCTAGTGGATCACTCTTTTAGCATTTGCAATGGTATTCCTGTACAAGATTATCCCTTCTAAGATTGCAGGCAGTTTAGAATGAGGTTCAGGGTAATTTAATCGTCCCCAAGAATGATTATTTGAGAGAGAGAGAGAGTCTGTAAAGTGTGGAACCACTTTTGGAATAAGGAGCTCATAATCATTATTAACCATTTGTCGTGAAATCGGGGGATGGAGATGTGTTATTAACCGGCAAAAAGTCTAAAATAAAATTTCACCCATCTGTTGTGCGATCGGGTGGTGTTGTGCAATCGGGTGGATGGAGATGTGTTATTAACTGGCAAAAAGTCAAAAGTAAAACTTCATTATATGCTATGCAATCAGGTGGATGGAGATGTGTTGTTAACTGGCAATAAAGTTCAAAATAAAATTTCTCGAATGTTGAATCTCGTGATGCACTTTCAATATGTTGAATTCTACATCCAGTGGCTAAAATGGATTTTGACCTCCTTGTACAAAAATTGAAGGATCATATATCATATAATTGAAGGAGCATTCAGCTCATGTTTCGCCCAAAATCCCTCTCTAGAGGACTTATTTCCCATTTGTAAGATCCACTCATGGGAAATCAATCTCATACTATAACAGGTATGAAATTGACCACTCAGTTTTACATTGGTGAGATTTTCACATTAGTGGGAAGCTTAGGAAAGAGCTTTCACATTGCCGGCCCTTTTCAATGAAGCAAACGTGAAAGTGGTGGTCTACAGAAAAAGTAATCATACCGCAAGGAAATTTCAGCATCTGGCTCCGAAATTCCTACTTGTCAAATGGCTTTTGAGTTCCTCGTAAATCCAGAGCATATCATATACAAGATAACAGAAAGCCCTTTCTTCCTTTATCATATGATATTATATCACTTCATCTAGGGGCTATATGAACCACTATATGGAGACACTGAATTCCTAGGCAAAACGAATAAAGAAAAGCTAAAGAAAACAGAAAAAATGTTTAAAAAATGTTTTTATTGCCCTATGTTTAGAAAATGTTTTTACAAAAACGAATAAAGAAAAGCTAAAGAAAACAGAAAAAATGTTTTTATTGCCCTATGATTATTTCCTACAAATATTCCAGGAAATACGAAATAAGGTCATAAACCCCAAAATGCTTAGGGGAATTATGTTCTTTGAAAATTGCGACAATTTCAGAAGTTTCAAACTAAAATTTACAGTGTGATAATTTCAGAAAAGTTTCAAATAAAAATTTTCAGATTACTCAACAATCAAATAGTGAGTACAATAATTAGAATTGATAAGGATCATCCTTACTCCTAGTCCTCGCCCTGGTTTTCCTACTCTTCCAAAACATATTACTCTTACTCTTCTTCTGGGGCTTCAATTTACCCATCTTACTATTCACTATACCCAATATTGCACTCCTATCCGTCCTATTTTTGGTCTTAGCCTTCTCCTCCAAAATCGCTCTCAGCTTCCGATAAGATGATGAGTCGGGCACTTGCTTGCTCTCAATCATTTGCTTGTGATAATAAAATGCTCTCTTGAAATCTCGAACACGAACGTAAGCATAAATCATGGTCGAGAAAGTGATTGAATCAGGCTTTAAACCAAAAGCACCCATCTCTTTTAAGAGTTGGGGTAACTTCTCATGTTGTCCTCCTCTTGCATAAGCATTCATCAACATATTATACGTCATAACAGTTGGCTCGAAACCCATCTGCCCAAACTCATAAACAACATCTCTTGCCTCCACATAGTGACCTTGTTTAGCAAACCCATCTACCAAAATATTGAAGGTCACGCGAGTGCATTCTATTTTATCTCTCATCATCCACTTCCATATCTCAAGCAAGGTTTTTGTGTCACCCACCCTCCTAAATGCATCTAAGAGAGCTGTGTATGTCTCTATTGATGGTTTTACCCCCTCCATCTGCATGTTCTCAAAGGCTGCATAGGCCTTCTCATGCCAACCACCAACCGCGTATGCATGGATAAGAGCAGTGTATGTATGAGAAGTTGGGGAAATTCCGGCCTTTTTCATTCTATAGAAGGCATCAGAGGCCCGATCACTTATTTTCTTAAGCCGCCCATACGCACTAATGAGGCAAGTGTATGAGCTAACATCTGGTTCTAGACCCAATTTTTGCATTTCCAATAAGAGATCCTCTACTACACTAGGCTGAAGTCTTCGACCATAGGCATCCATGAGAGTATTATAGGTAGAAGTGGTGGGCTCTATTCCCTTTTCCTTCATCTCTGCAAAGAGGCCTTCAGCTTCTTCTGTTTGATTCGCCTTACAGTAAGCATCTATCAAGGTGTTATAGACAATGGTGTTGGGCTGAACCCCACGTTTCTCCATTTCAGATTGGATGATTAGGGCTTCTTTCCTCAATCCCTCATCACAAAAGGATTTTATGAGAGCACCTAAAACCTCAGGGCTCCACTCTACTCCTTTTCTTGTCATTCTCTCAAAGAAATTCCATGCTTCCTTTGCATTGCTTCCATTTTTCCTCATGGCTGTTATTAGTATAGAGGAGGTTATGTGGTCTGGGTGGATGTTCTGGGCTTCCATTTCCTCATACAATTTCCAAGCTTCATCATACCTGAAGAAGATCTTTAGCCATATTAGACATGGATTCAAAGTTTAAGCATTGGATAGTCGCAATGGGTGATGCAATGTTAAAAAACACAGAAAAGTATCTTTTATTTTAATATGATACAATTGGCACTAGAAATGCATAACGGCAATAAAAAATGCCATGATAAGATTCCATCACATTGATTTAAACACTAGTCATCTTTTCCACTGATCCGGAGACGAGAGAGAGAGAGATTCTTGCAGAAAGCATTACTTAAAAATGACCTATTACAGTAGTAAACAAAATTTTTGGCACATCTGCCGCGTACCATAAATATGCTCTTATAGCCAACCCTGTAATTTCATCCGCCAAGGAAAGTCCAATTCCACTTTAGACATTGATTAATAACAAACCCTAACTTCTTGGGTCTGCAACATTAATAGTAGAAGGCAGTACCACTTGCTAGTTTGTCAACAATGAGGCGAAAATTCTTGTGTAACTGTTCCTTGTTTGAAGGAAACCATGATCTTAATTAGAATAATCAAGGATCAAACTCCAATGTTCTTCAATCAGATAATCATGATGCAACTTAACACTGTATTCTCAAAATAATATTTCCAATATCCACATCCTTTGTGGAGATCAAAGGAAGGGTGACAAAACTGGTTACATTCACCTGTTCCATTTTCTTCTCTTCTGCAAGAATCTGTTGGATATTCTATAATTTAACAAAACTGGTAAACCCAAACTTCTCCATTTGCACTACGAATCTCATATTTTACACAACAAATCTTCTGATCTAACAAAGCATCTATGTGTGTGTGTAAATTGCATAATCTAAAACTTCCTGCTCTAGGACCATGTGTAGTCTTGAACTATGTGACCTGGACACATGAGTCTGAGACTTTTGGCATATGTCAACACACCAGTGGACACTGCACTCATGTCTGAAGCACTAAACTTGAACACTCATTTCCTAACTGTTTTTATTGAAATTGCACTATGAAAGTACTCAAATTTCATTCACAATCCCATCTTCCCCCTTCTTTGAATGATGTATGAAAGGCCAATTTTTAGGTTTACAATTTTGGTTTTCTGACACTTTTATTGGTGTTGGACACACATGTATCCATGTTTTTCTAACAGTCCACAATCCTGTCAACTTCAAAACACCAGCAAATATTCCACTGATTTACTGCATGGAAGGCTTTTCATTGTCACATTGCAAAAGCTTAGTAAGATTTAAACACACACTTTGTACTGTTTTTGCATACTATATCGCTTGTAAAGCATTTTTTGGACCCCATAAGGGGTTTTTATTTCCTGAACATCTGCTTAGTGGGTGTTCTTCTTTATACAACTTTTACATCAATACAGTTAACAGTTTCCAAAAAAAGATCAGAAATACTTCTCAATTACCTATGACCATCATAATCTTGTACATCAGTACATCTCACTGAGAAATTTAATCTTCCCTGTCTTCTCTTGGGACATTAGCATACTTCCAAACCCAAATACATTGAGGATCTTGTTAGTTTTGAATAGTGTTTCAAACCAACTTTAAACTATCTTTCCTAAGTGAGTTCAGTTGAGAGTGCACAGCGATGATCATGATTCTTGAGTGCCTGATCCGCATCATTTTTTTGGGTGGTCTGTTGGTGGAAATTGTAAAGAAAAATGCATGTGCTAGTGCTTGATTTTGGGCTCAGTTTCAAAAAGTTTTCTGTGTAAACCAATGCTTTTTGTCCACAGAAGAACTTCAAGCATAAACAGTGCATCATGCTGCAATATTTCACCACAAATGAATTGTCACTCAATTAGTGACACATGTAATAGGGATACATTTGTTTACTTCTGATAAAACTTGAGTGAGTCCAAAAGTCATCTGCAAAGGAAGCTTGCAATCACTTGATACTTGTTCTTGAATATGTTAAACTGTTGTATTGAGTAAAGAAGTGTACACAAAATTCGGCGACCCACAAGTCGAGGGCTCGAATCCAACCCCATAAGGGGGCCAAAAAATCTATACAATCATATGGACAGCCCAAAAAATTGGTAGAACAGGATATACAAGAGCCGGGACTTGAGAACTAAAAAACTGCCCAAATTAATCCCTTGTGAATTGTGTAGGTTGGCTCCCTCCTTAGCAAGGGTATCGGCCACAACGTTGGCTTCCCTCCAAGTATGCCTCCATACAACATGTATATACCTACACATCTGGAAAATCTCGTAAAAAATGTGGTCCGTCCTACATGGGCAAGGTGAAGATCTTGAGGCCCGTGCAATGACATTCTTGGAGTCTCCCTCAACAATCAAGGAAGTACCCCAGGTGTAGTTGAAGTTCCTTTGGTTGTAGAGGAGGGCCATGGCTCCACCGTGTTAGAGTTGGCTTGGCCAATAAGCGAGAATAGAAAAACAGGGTGCAGCCGTTCTTGTCTAGGAAGATACTCCCAATGCCTGAGGGCCTGGGTTTCCAAAGGAGAAACTGTCAACATTGAGCTTGGATGGGCCATAGTCTGAAGGTCTCCACAAAGATGCCCGAGGAATGAGAATGGGTCGTAAAGAGAGCAAAGCTCGTCAGTTCTGGTGGAAGTCCGCAGTTGAGCAATGCTTGAAAGGTTTTTGTTTGTTCACTATTACGGTTTTACCTAATCCCCACACATTCAAGTCAAACAACAGTGTGAATGACTTGTCGATATTTATACCCAGTTCGATTTCATTTCAGTGTGTGTGAAAAGTCTCAAAAAAGGGAAACTCTCCAAAAATTTGGACTCAGCTTGTAAGCAAGCTTCTGTCTTGGTTCTTTGTCCTCTTGTACAAAAGATTTGCTTAAATTGTCTGAGAACCAAACAAATTTATTTTTTTGAAAGTGTTAAAACTTTTATATAGGAGAACCAAAACAAATTGTTCAAGTCAGAAGGATCCCTGCACCTTTAGAAGGTTCTTTTGAGAATGCAACTGAAACAATACTTAAGAGAGTGTGTTACTCGGCTCAGTTGGTTTGTTTGCATCTCGGGGTTTAACGAGACGAGGGTGTCCAATATCCCAAAGATAGCACAGACCCCTCTGTGCCTCTGAGTCATCATGGTGAACAGTAAAAACAGTTTTTGAAAGCTCTAACCTAAAAACCAATTCTTGTAGTTGATGTACCTGTACATAGTTTGAACGCTGGAAGTGTGTGTGTGAGACTGAGAACTAAATAAAGATTTGCCTCTCAGCATTCTACACAGAGTTGAAGTCAAACCGCATGAGATTCTATTCAGAGTGGTTACAACCTGATTAAACTTCCCCTTGTTTTGGACTCTTAAAGAGTTCACGATATGGATTGTCAGTCTTTGTGAGTTTTGTCTGTAGTTAAGACCTGAGAAAGAATATAAGGGAGGCTTTTACTTTCTAACACTCGTCCATAGACAGAAAGGCTTCGCGGATGAGGAATGCAGATGACATTGTACCTATCTGAAGTCGACCAAAGAAACTAATTTGGCAACAGAAAGCTCAAAAGTTGTGAGAAAAAGATTTTAAATCCCCAATATTCGGCCTTGGATACGCTTATAACAGAGGATCAATGACTCAATAACCTCATTCAGTGTTGGACTCGTCTCTGTGGGGGCTCATTTAGACCAGGACTTTGTATTTCATTGTTTCCACTTTGACCACAAAACTAACCAACATATATCTGACTCTGTATGTTCAAATTCATCTTCATAGAGCTGCTAACACATCCCAACTCACCTCAAGTGCACAACTGATTGTAGCCCCTAAAAGTGAACCATTTTCTATGAATTACGGAGAGAATAGACTAAAGCAATGTGTTATGGACAGAATAGATGGCTAATATCTAATGGGCATGACAACAAGTCTCTACTGATTCCTAAAGATAAACTCATTCGAAAGCAAGGACTTACTCTAACAAGGAGCAAACTAGCATGAAAACCATGAAGGCATCTCTAGTAGCCACCAAACATAAAATCTACACATACAAAGAGTCCGACTAAGACTAGTCCTACAAATTTAGGTCATGATTTATAACATGTACTGGACTCTATAGAGGATTTGTCCTGAGTTGCTTGTCCAGAACAGAGGAATAAATCCAAGCATTCATTAAGAAAAACAAAAGAGCAGGCAAGACACAAAACTAGTGGACAATCTCTAATTGAGATCTCAATTTAAAACCAAAAAATGAACCTGCCACATTTCTTTTCTGGCATAGCTTGGAAAGCCTGTTTACTTGCCAACCAATAAACAAATAATCATAAAAAATTTCAATCCACAATCCAATCTTTTCTGCACAAAAAGTATACTATCAATTCAACGTGACTGCAGCAGAAACTGCCACATTTCTTTTGTGCTCATCTTAAGTCAATTAAACTAGTTACCATTAAGGAACTGATTTCTTCACAACTACACAACAGCTCAATAATCAGTATTCAATTTAAAACCAAAAAATGAAAGCTCTAAATGATCATCACACAATCAGAACTCAAAATAAAGCACAGTAAAAGCCACCAATTCTTTCATAGGCACCAGGCAGGGAAGTAATTCTTTCCTTTTTCAATAGATAAACAAAGACGCAAAAGCTAAGACTCAGCTGGCAATAATTCTATATCTCCAAATCTATTTTAAACAAATCAATGAAAAAACTGAACTTCAAATTTGACTCACCTTCCACACCGTGAAAGTGCACTTATTGCAGAATTATACAATCGAACATCGCAAAACTCCTTTGCCTTAGGCATGTTTCTAAACACAACCATCAACCTATCCCCCATCTTTGCATAGCCCAAAACTGTACAAAGAGCAGAGTAAACTCTAGGATTAACAAGCCTTTGCTCTTGTAAACCCATCCATTCAAACAAATACAGAGCTTCCATAACCAAACCTTCTTCCCCCAAACCTTCAATTGCCAAAACACAATCTTTCTCACTCATCTTCCCAGCATAAGGCCCCATAAAATCACTCAGAACTGCATTTTCAGGAAGACTCTTGGCAATACCCACAATTTCTTTTACTAAATTTTCTTCCTTTACTTCGTGATTTTGTTCTTTTGCGATAGTTGGTTCCGCTGAATCTGGGCTATCTGATGTAAATGCCAAATTTGAAAAAGTTGGGTCTTCTTGAACTGGTTTTTCTAGGGTACCGACCTTCGCAATATGCCATGATAGCTTCCGGTTCTTCTTAAAGCGCAGGCGCCTTTCTTCTTGGGCATCTCGATTAGCTGGCCTTGACTTGAAAAACTTATAAATGGCGTCCAAGCCTTCTTCTTCTTCTTCCTCTTCTTCTTCTTCTTCTTCTTCTTCTTCTTCTTCTTCTTCTTCTTCAACTGATGCTTCTGATTCTTGAAGGGCAGGGAGAAAAATGGGGTCTAAGTCTTCTGTTTCAGAGAAGGTTTGATGGGTTTGAAGAGAGAGAATCCGGTGAGGGGAAGTGGTCTTTGGAGTGAGGATTGGCAAATAAGTACTCACTTTGGGGAGAGGATTCAATCCGGGAGGGGTTCTGAAGAGGTTAGAGAGAGAAGGAGAGGAGAGAGAACAAGAATTCAGAATCATGGTTGTATGAAAAGGCTGGCATTTGAGAGTGATGAGGTGCTATACCAAAACCAGTTGCTAGCTTAAGGGATGATTGGGGGTTCTGGTGGGTCTAAGAGAGAGAGCTGAGAGCTTCGCTCTTGAGAGAGACAGAGAGCTTGAAGCTTTACTCTTCTCTCATCAGAGTTGTCATGGTTGAGTGAGAGAGAGAGAGAGAGAGAGAGAGAGCGAGAGCTTGAAGCTTGACTCTCTTCAGAGTTATCTTGGTTTTGAACCTCCCTTTCTATGGTGTGTCGCGGAACAACCAGAAATACCACATCAAAAGGCTCCAAGGTATCGTAGTTAGGATGTGGTTTCTATAAGGTCGCAATCTTTTTTTTACAGTAAAGTTAACGTGAAACGGCGTTTAATGTTCTTTAACAATCCAAGTAAGGCGCACCTCCAAATTTTATTTACGGGTTTTGGTGTAAATTTTTTTTTTAATCATCTCAAAAGTTATTTTCATATTTAATTATAAGATTTTAACCTTTACAATTTGTAAAATCACGTGGATCTATAATCCTATGAAAATCTTGAAAATTGACAGTCTAGATCATGTATTGTAAGATGTATTATTTTTAAGACTAAACTTTTTATTTTTTTAAAAAAATTTATACATCTCATGTCAAGATGATCAATTAGAATGTTTTTCAACATTAAAACAAGTTTTTTTTATTGACAACCTTATAAAACTTTTTTCCTGCTGGAGTCCTAATGCAGTAGGTTGAGTCCTGTATAGGTTAAAAGTAGTCCAGAAAAAAGGTAACTAATTTGTTTAAAATAAGTGAAAGAAAAGCACAAATAAATAAATAAAGTACTAGAAACTACGCAATGACTACAAAAGTAAAAGTATATACAAACGAAGGTTTATTGAAACTTTTGATCTATATTTTAAAATATTTAAAAAAAATAAAAAAGGAGACATTTAAAAAAAGGATTGTATACGACGATACCATTCACCTTTAGTAAAAGAATATCACAATTACATAAAACCATCCGATGTGAAATCTAACAGCTTGGGTGTTTGATAAAACTTCTTTTGAACCTTGAATTTGGTCAATATAATCAATGCGGCCACCAAACTTCACATTTAATGGTCAAGATTAATTGTGACCACCTTGTTCCAAAAGTGTATACCACAAAAATCAAATAAATTTTTTTTCTATGTTCCATTAGTAGATTCGTTCGCTCCACAAAGAAAAAAAGGTAAAGACTGATGTAGCTGCGTCGTAAGGTCCATGTGAGAGAGAGAAAGTGAAAGAGAAAGGTGGTTAAGACAACAGACAGTACAGTTAATAGCACCATGGAACTAAGGCCACATAACGTGATTGTTTCCTTCATTACAACTAGTAGAGACAGACACACGGTTGCATTCAGCAACGATGGGCTCACTTAAGACTCCCTTTTCTGGTTCTTTTATTCTCAAATACCACTCTTTAAGACCTTAAATCATACATAGATAGGTAGACCTCCTGATTTATTTAGTAAAGGTGGTGATATTATCTTAGGGTTCTTCGATGACGACGGCCTCATTAGCGTGGGAGCAGCAGCTCTTGCAGTGGCCGTGATCCATGTGGCAGCATCCATGTTTGCAGTGTCCGTGGCCTTGTTCTGCCTGTGTGTTTGCAACATCATGATCGTCAATGACGAACTTGGCCTCATTAGAGTGGGCGCAGCAGCGCCTGCACTCATGGTGATACATGTAGCAGCACCCGTGCTTGCAGTGCGACCCAGCTTCGGGCTCCACTACTACTTCTCCTTGTTCTGTAGGATGAGGGCAACACTTCGTGCAGCCGTGTGGGTTCTTCTTGCAGCAACAGTATTTGCATCCACCCCTTATACAGCAAAACAACAACAGGTACAAAACTAAATTACCATTATCACAACTACCGACCTAGTAATTAATTACTAATGACACGGGGCAGCATACTATTTTGAACCATGAGAGATGGGTTGAACTGATCACCCACTAGCTTCTAGCCTGCTCGAAACTGATTGTTAGGCTTGCCATTTTCCAAAGTTTTTATACATAAGATAACATAAACTAAGGAAACTCGCTCGGTGGTCTAGCACTTTTACTAGTACTGGTAAAAAGGCTGCTAGGAGATTTTTAAAACACTGGTAAAACATGATGCATGTCCAACACTCAAAACAATAGGTTGCATATCACCTCAACTTGTTGAGCTTTTCAGCTCAAATCTATCATCAACATAGCGTCAATTGGACCTGGTCATGTGTTTCAAAATGAGGAGACATGAAACAATTTTGTAGTAGTAGTAGTAGGCGATTCAGAAAATAGTAGCGAAGTGGTAGGGGTAAGAGAATAATAGATGCCCCAGCAAATAGTAATTCTGATTTCCACATTGGTAGTTGTTGCAGGAGCAGAAATTGTAGCAGTAAGTGATTAGGGTAAGACATGATACCTTGAATCTGTTCTTTCTCTTTGCAGTCGGCTGTATAAACAAGTACGGTGGCTACAAGGAGCGATTGGGTGATAAAAAGGAATGCCTTTGCTGCCACCATCTTCTCTCTCAGTCAGTCGGTAGGATACACTGCCCTTCTCACTCAAGAAAGAAATGGAAGCTTGTTTGTAGAGTGAGTGAGGAGGGGTGTTTATAGGTGGTTACTACTTAGTAGTGGCTGTCAACTTCACATGAAAGGCAAATTTTTCAAAGCTTATCCTCTTTCCACAGTGGATAAACATATATTCAACCATTACCTTCATCACTCCCTGCCTTCCTTTCTTGACCTCTTCTCACAGTACAACCACCACCTGTGCCTTGAAGCCTCTGGTAAAAACGTAATTCGCCATTTTAGTCTTCTTGTTTGGCTATTTAGGATGGCAATCTTCTTTTTTCAAAGAGGTATAATTGAATAAAGCAGCCTAACAGTACTAAATTCTCGCTCACATCATTCATTTGTTTTCAGAGTAGAAGTAATTTCACATATCCACTAAGCACTATCAACAATTAATTATCCATCCCAGTCATGGACACTGAATTCTCGCTCCCAACCACATGTCGAATTACTTGGACCAGATTTAAAAAAAATGGAACAAAAAATAAATATAATAGTTTAGCAATATAATATGTATTAAAAACTTGCTCAACATCATTTAGTTTGTCAAACTGCTAAAATCTGACTCGTCCACCACCCAATGCTATTAAACATTGGATTTTAATTTGATTTTTCCTAAACTTAGTTTTTACCTTGATAGATATGGCATTAAGAACTTAGGATCAAATAAACATCATCATCAATATTGTAAAATCGATCATAATGTAAATAAAGATTGTATAAAAGAATTTTAATCTATAAATACCACTAAGTATTTTGCCACAATTTCAAATCTACATTGTGGTCTATAGGAGTGTAGATAACCCCCAAAAATTCTGGATAAGGGAATTCCAATAAACCTCAAATCTTAGTCCTAAAGAAAACAATAACCCTAGTAAACTATATTGAAACTAGAGCTCTTAGAGTTGTTTGGAAGTCACACAAAACCTATTCTTGATACCCCAATATTATCATCTTAGATACCCATGAGCTTGATGAACGTAGAAAACTGGCCCGAACACCAATCACCCTCCTAAAAACCTTAAGCCATAGATCCCAAAAAAGTAACTCAAATTTGACCAAATTTAGTTCTAAATTATAGAGGAGATCACCAGCTTTCCAATGGTCCAATGATCGCCTGAATCCAACTTACAGTTAAAACATTATAGCTTGAATAAAATTGTTTGATAAACTTAAAAATTGGTCTGTGGCACGAGCCACGGTGACTTGTATTGCACAAGTATCCACTACTTGCGCATGGGCCGCACAAGTTATTGTGACTCGCACTGGCCTAATGGATCCAGAATCGGGTTAGAGCTTCTAGAAGGTCCCTTGAGGAAATTTTAGTATGGGATAAGCCCAAAAAATGATTAATTTGCCCTTATCCCAATTGGATTGGGACTAAAACATTAGATTCATAAATTTCAACCATACCCCTATGCTAGGTCTACAAATAACTCCTCATAAATACCAAAAATATCATTTGAAAAACATGAAAATTCACTTAAATTCCCATAAATTCCCCTAAAGTAAGGAAAATACCTAGAAAATTAGGAAAAGGCCTAGAAATCCATAGAAAATTAGGAAAATTAGGAAATTCATCAAAACGTTCCCTAGAAAAATAGAAAAAGCCCAAAAGCCCCTGGACGATTAGGGAAAACCTTTGGACAATTAGGGAAAATCCTTAAAAAACCTTAGGCTAGACACTAAGCCCAAATTTCTCTGAAATCAAAATCCGAGGAACAAGATCTCCAAAATCTCAGACCTTCAAAGCCATGTTTCAAGAAAGGAAGGGAATGCATCAAAAGGTGTAAATCATCTCACGGTCCTAATACAAGTCTGAAATATCGGTTTCTCAGGTATGTTATCTTCCTTTTTCCTTGGTTTACTTTAATTTCATTATTTTTATATTTTATTTTTTTTGTTATATCTTTGTTTCTAAGTGTGTGATTGAATTTGAGTGAGCTCCACTCTCTCTAATGTTCTTCAAATTTAATTCGTTTTATAAGAATTTGATTCGATCTCAAATCAGAGACCCAACAAAATTTGTGCATAAACAGTTTCGCACTCACCATGGGGGTCTCGAGCTGTACATTCTACTATTTAGATAATTAAAACCATACTTCAATTTTCCAATAAAAATGTAAAGTTTGGAAGTAAAAAAAGCACTAGAAAAACTTGCAAAAATTGGATCCAGTGCCCATTGTTAGTGTGCAAGTCATATCGACTCGCACAACAGCCAGCATGAGCTGCATTGTCTCACGCAGTGCGAGTCGATGTGACTCACGCAGTGCGAGGTGATGCGACCCACGCTCTATGGATTGCCAAAAATGTTTTTTGGTAACCCCTTTTTCCCCCTTTTTTGGGTTTCCTATGTTCTCTAGTTTCACTGTTTTCTGTTTCCAGTGACCTAAAACGTCTTGAAAAATAAAATAATAATATTATTAAATAAAACGAGAAACAATAGAAGATAAGCTTGATCATCAGATTAAGCTTTATATGCTTAGGTGAGGTTCTTGATCTTATTTATATTTTCTCATCCTTATATGATTGGATTAGGTGTTAGATCTTATTTTTTCTCATTGTTATATGTCATTTTTGTAGTACTTGTATACTCGAAGCGAATATGGAGAGAGCCAGTAGCAACATGGTCCTGTCGGTACCCAAGACACTACCAGACCAAGGAACACTACAAAATTAAACCTAAAATTGGGCTCCCTCTAAAGAAGTATCAGAACGAA